ATGCGAGAGGGGTTCTAAAACGGTTCTATTGGAATTCTTTCCGTATTTTCTCGAATTCCCGCTCGGCAAAGCAGCTGTCCCTTCTAGATCCTCCAATATGATCCCTGATAGGAACCCTTATAGGGTCCCTGTAAAAAAACTCTGCAGTGGCGGTGGGGAGGCCGAGAAGGTACTGAACGCACGGAGACATGCAGCCAGTTGAAGAGCTTCTTCCTCCTGAGCATTGTTCCATACAGATCCCATGTGAGTAGTTGTCAGAATTATGGTGCCTCTGTGGGTACCCTACATACTAGGTGCCATATTATCTTAAGAGCCAAAAAGGGACCATAATTTTGACAGCCACGCATGTGTGCCTCTGCTTGGTTGACCTGGCCCGTAGTTTACGTGCCAATGGTCAGGTCCACTGTGGCAGCTTGCAGGGCTGAAATCGCCTCCGTCTTGTCTGCATCGAATCGCTCCGTGACATCCTTTAGCCGGACCGTGGGCGCTGCCAAGTGCTGGCCCAAGAATTGGCCCTTCTTGATTGCTCGGTTTCGTCGTTTTTGGACGGCCAGTCTTTTCCCGATTTTGGCAACGGAATTTGCTTTCGTTTTGGCAGCTTGTTCTGGTCGATGGCAGCGGTGACTGGGTCTCGGAATAATTCTATAAAGGTACGGAAAGGGCGTCATAAGGAAAAGATAAGGGTCTACAGGGGTTCCCCACAGGAGCTCGAAAATGATTTGGAAAGGGTTCTATACGGATTCTGTACGGTACAAGGATTAAAGAAGGGGTTATAACGGCGCTGACAAGTTTATGTAAACGTGCCATGAGAGTCAGATATCGACTCTACTCAATTTGTTTATTGGTCTTTGTAATGCCCGGCAGGTTGTTTTTGTGTTAGCGCCAACAGGGGCACTGGAACCATCAGGCAAGTCTCAGGAATTGTTGGAATGCTGTTCAGAAGCAGCCCCAAAACGTCCGAAACCGTTGCGAAGCGTCGGAACGATAGTAAAGTGCCGATGCGGGCTTCAAAGTTCGAAGGGCCGAATAGGTCTCGAGATTAATGTCACGATTCTTGAGGCCAGAAAACGCCAGGACAGACACCCTCTATTAAACAGACTGACCACCAGCGATTCCAATATAGAAGGGCTAAGAGTGTGGTGTTTTGGAAGTTTAATGGGTTCGGGCTTTTCGGATTTAGGGGGTGTGTTTAGTGGTTTGCTGTCTATTTCTGGATCCAACAGAACTAACAATGTTTATTTCCCGAACCCCAGTCACCTTGCCAGCAGGTGGCTGGGTGTTGAAAACTTCAGGTTCACAGTACAAACCAACTTTAACGTGCCACCCTTGGGTTTTATACCATCTCCAATCTACGGTTGACTCCATTACTCAGCCAAGCGGATCTTAAGGTATCTGTATTCAAACTGATATCAGTTAGTTAGGGGATATTACAACCGAGCGCTTCTTAGCCAAACCGAAACGATGTCAAATCTGAAATTCTACACTCTCAGCATGGTGGGCCCCAGATAGCCGTAACGCAGCAAATCAAGTACTGAAACCTTCCGTAAACGACAAAAACTCCTATGCAATTGCCCAGAAAGGAGCCGTGTGCACAGCAACCTGCATGCCCAAGCCCGAAACCTGTTCTGAGCGTCTGAATATGACACCGGGATTTCCAAACTTAAACACATCAGGGAACCATAACATCAGATCGCCCTTGGTTCAGACCCCAGTTAGTACTCCCGGATCGAACCCGCTGCCTGGAAACTCTCATAAATGATTGAACCTGAACAGAGCGAGCCCCAAAGTACCCCTATAACGCCTGACAGAACTACATACCTGACGGGAGCCCTCCCCCAAAGTGCCCCTATAACGCTTGAAAAACCCTTATAGAGCAGTTACAGAACTACATACCTGACGGGAGCCCGGTTACATGGGCCTTTAAGTAACCAGGGAGGAAAAAGTATATACTTCTATTTCATAATGGTTCCCTTAAGAAAACAAGTATCGAAGTACGGTACTCCAAAGCCCAGTTACATGGATGTTGGAGCCAAGATAGTCGGCCTGGCAGCGACTGCGAAACCATCGGTGTGAAGTTGAATGCTTCGGGGCTTAGGGCTTTGGCTTTTCTGTGTGGGGTTTCAGGTCTAGGCTTGAAGGTTTAAGGCATGGGCTATATACTTTGGGTTGAATTATAGTCTCACGAACTATTCAGGCCACCTTAGTAGCATTACACCCTGACTCCCATGAGTCTTCCGTGGCTTAGGTTGCGCTGCTGAAAGGCACCAGATTCTTGCGCTATCCACGCCCTACCTGCCGATTTTTGATATCCCTACCGTAAACCCTAACCCTAAGCCCTAAACCCTAAACCTTAATTCGATTGAAGGGAGCATCGCACTAACTGCCAGGCCATGAGATCGCATCGCCAAGTTCCACAAAGCATTCTCCCAAAGGGTCCTATATACTGCTATGGGGCATACTTCCCTAAGTCATAATATATAGTAATTCCTAATTTGGAAACCCTACATTCTGCAATGGGGGATACTTCCTTCCCTAAATCATAATAGTAATTCCTAATATGGAAACACCCTACATTCTACTATATCGGTACATAGGACCCTTTGGGATCTGCAAGACCATGGCCGGAGTTTCGACTTCGGGCCGAAGTATCCTATGACCCTACAAAACATCCTCAGGAAAGTCGCGACACTTCCATATGGGAGTTTCCGAAAAAGGTACCTTATTTTGGGGTCCTTATAATAAGGATCCTACCATTTAGGGTACTACCTTATTTTGGGGTCCTATAATAAGAAGGATCCTACTATTTAGGGTATACTATATTATTAGGGTCCCCTATTTCGGAAACGCCCATATAGAACGAGCAGTACAATTACAACCACACCCTCCCAACACCATTGAAAGACTTACGACAAGTCACCTGACTTGGCGACAGACAGGCGCCGGAACCCTGAACGCCAATTCCGGCCAATAGCGCGACAAAAACCCGAAACCCTCATCCCAGGCAGCGTAAATCCCAACCTCAAGGACCCTCAACCCATAAGGCCCCAAAGTAGTTCCTTTTTGGGATTACCTTAGAGGATTCTGAATATGAACGCTAAAACGGAACTACTTTGGGGTTTTAGGGAAGTGCCTGATCAAGCCGGGGACGAAGGGCAAGCAGGCGGCCGCAGCGCGCCTCAACGGGACCTAGGCCAATACCTCAGCGGGAAGATCGGGGTTTCAGGGCTCAACTTGAAACCCTTTGGGGCTTTTAGGGTTTAGGGTTTGGGGCCCTTTAACCAAAGAAGCTCATATATTTATAGACTATAGAATTATGAGAAACAGACCTTGGTTCTGTTGATGCACCACATCTAGAAACCCACGTTTGGAGGCTTTGTAGACCTCACGGAACCCCAAAACAGCGCACACAAGAGGACCCTGATTGCAAAACCGAACCTAGATGAGGCACATCGAGATGTTGTGAGACCCTGCATAATGCGCTATACAGCTCCTGCGAACCCAAACAATCAAAGGGGAAAAGGAGGGACCCTGAATGGGGACCCTTACCCTATAATGGGCTATATAATGGGTATATAATTGCTATATTAAGGGTATATACCTAGGGGTCCTTATTAAGGGTCCCTCCTTGTACCCTTGGAAACAAAATTCGATAAATCCCAGTCGCTCCCTCGGGCTTAGAAAGCTAAAGACCCTGAGCCACGGTCACATTTTCAAGCAGGCCCTCAGAAGCCGACCCTGGCCCCTTCCCCCCAAAACCCAGTACCCAGAACCCTATACCTACAGGCCCCATAGTAGTTTTTTTTTGGGGCTCATATTTAGAATCCTAAAAGGTAATCCCAAAAAGGAACTACTATGGGGGCCTATGGGCACACCCCAAAACCCCAAACCCTGAATTTGGGGGCTGTTTCGGCAGCCGGCAGGTCGACTGAAGGAGTCTTGGCCCTGCGGGGAGAGCAGAGGGTCAAGGCTGCAGGGGGCTTTCAGAAGGCCCAAAGGCTTTCGGGCTTAGGGGTTCAGGGCTTTAGGGCTTATAAGAGGCTCAGGATTTTAGGGCTTAGGGGCTCGGGGTTCAGTTCCGATAACGGCCGTGCGCGGCTTGGGTTTTGGGCTCCAAGGTTAGAGGGCTTCGTGCTTTCAGTCGGGGTTGAAGGCTTTAGTGAGCTTTACACGCTGCTACAAGTAATGTAGGGGCCTTCATAATTAGAATAAGGTTTGAGGGTATATTGCCCCAAGCCAACTACTTAACCGCGTCCCTTCAAAGGTGACCTGGGGGGGGAACTACTGCTAGGCTGCTAGGCTTTAGGGTCGACGGCACCAGCAGCAAGTGAGCAAATGCTTAGCATGAACCTCCCAGGCACACATTGCCAATTTTTCTTGTCGCCCCAACTGCCCCTCACTTCCAAGAACGTATTCCACAAAGCATAACATAAGCCCGAAACCCCTGAACACCAAACCATCAGTCTTAAAGTCTTAAAGCGTGTACTAACTCACACATGCGAGGCTGCGCCAGATGTACAGGCAGTACGTTTCTCTGCATCCGGTTTCTCGCAAGCTTGTACAGGGGATGTCTTTGACCCCCCTGGTCAGCGCTACTCCTCCTAAGTAAACACGGTGAGAATATTCCGACGATGCTTTTGTTACGCAGATGAGACCCCTCTGATGAACCACCCGTGCGATAATTCTTACAGGATTCCATCAAAACATTGTTAAGTATGGGGTTGCAAGCAAGTGGGATGAATTTGTGACGCCGGTTGATCCTTCACAAGCCGGTTGCTGCCACGAAGAGATTAACAGATGCTCGAGGCTCAGGAGAACCGCCTTCCCAAGCCTGCAAGCCTTGCAGATCCTCCTCTTGAAGGAGGATACCTATTCCAGCCGCTCCGACTGAGTCGGTTGAGCATTGTTTCAGTCCTCAGGACTCTTGACCAGAATCGACCAAGTATATGCCAGTATATGCATCTGCGATACCCCTACTCAGGGATACAGCACGCCCTCAATGTCTAATTCCACGAATCAATGATGGTCTGAAAGGACCGCTTGGCGTTTGCATCAAATGCAGACGACCTCGCGCCAGAAACTCGAGGTCCTCCTGAGTCCGGATACATGAGACCGCACTCTGAGTCCTCGGCTCTTCTCGGAGGTGCTTACAAAACACAGTTTGCTCCCCTTGTTTCGGAATGTTCAAGGGGATGGGGCTACCTATAGTCCCCATTGTAGTTCCTTTTTTTGGTTTAACCAATTTTATTAAGGATCCTAAAAGGTAACCCCAAAAAGGAACTACAATGGAGACTATAGGTACATACCCAACAATGAAGAGAAGAGAAGAGACGTCTTGATTAGCAGTCTAGACTCGTCCGCCTCCGTTTCGAGTAGCTGGCTGCCCCTCTTCGTGAGGACTTCTCGGTTCTTGTTCGACAAATATGGAGCCATCAGCCAATCTGGATGGTTCGTATGCACCTCAGCCAAGGACCTCTTCTCCAACTCAAAGTTCAGGTGTAGTGCCCGAGCTCTGAGCATGATCGTGGGGTCCTTGAATGCTGGCAGCATGGAGCAGGAGATAGAAGCATGTATAAACGCCGAGGTCCCGTGCAAGTACCACAGCCAACTATCATCGAGGACATTGTCTGTGAGCAGCTCACCCTGCCACCACCTCCAAATCTTCCAGACGGCGCCGACGCTAAACACGGGGCCAAAACACAGTGCGAAGAGGTTCGTCGCCCGAGTGGCTAGTCTCCTGATGCGCAGACACACGCCGGTGTCTTCTCGTTCCTGGTCGCTGAAGAAGTTAGTCGGGCAAGCCCGGCAGAGGCGGAAGGCCGGATAAAGGCCAGCCACCACAGAACCGATCATCAGTGCCAAAACACCAAACTTGAGAATTCCGAAGGCATCGAAGGCCCATCTCCAGGTTTTTGATACTTGCAGGATCCTGCGGAAAAGTGGCCCGACGGCAAAGGGCGCTATGATCAGATGCTGCGCAAGGCACCAGAACATGTAGGTCCAGGTAAGCATCCATTCCATCTCTTGGATTTCCGGTAAGGAGAGCCTTGGCGCTGGACAGGCCTCTACACCTCCCCTCCCTTCAGCGCCACTATCTCCCCTCAAGGCAGGGGAAAGCAGGGATGCTGATGGATCGGAAGGGACGGTTGCTTCAGCTGCTCTGAATGGGACACTGTACTGAACTGAGTAAAGATAGTCTCCATGGCAAACTGATAGCACAAGCCTGTGGTATTTTTGCTCTGTGACAGCCAACAGCAGGAAAGGCGGCAACACTGCTAGCAATGTCACCACAGTCTTCAACCTGTAATAGCAGCCGCTGTCTGGTTCCACAAATACCTCTGCAGCACCAGTGCCCCAAACGAAAGCAGCGACGCAAGAGAATAGCTGGCACCAGAATAGCACCAAGGCAATCTTTAATGTCACCCGCTCGTGAACACCTGCTAGCAAAGACCAGTCATGCACCAGAATGCATGCAATCCATGCAATGACAGCCACAAGGTAGATCACCCGAATGCGGCCTTGAACGAGGTGGTTCTCTATTTTGGTGCGAGTGTCGTATTCTTGACACTGCGTGGGTGTCGCATTCGCACTGCTGATGAACTCAGTGTGGCTGGAATTGTCCAGCAAAAGCACCGCCGCGGTGTACCTGGGCTCTCATTGTAGCCGTGTAGTCTGGATATGACAGTAGAAATTCTAGAGTAGGCCAAGAAAAATGACGATAGTTCTAGAGAATCAAGATACATGTAGGGGCCCAGAAAGTAGGCTGCACCTGGAGTTTGCAGCCATACCCACGGTGACAGAATTGGTGGATAGCTTGCTTGCACACTTTGACCGGTTTGGACTGCCACAAACAATGGAAAGCTTGGCCACCAGCCTGTTTTGTTTCCAGTTGTTCTTTCAACATTCTCAACAGCTGTAGACGGTAAGCTTGGGACACCAGCGTACCGCACGAAATAACATTCGTCATCGCAAGCGTGAAAGTCTGAAGGGTCCATGTCCCGAGTGAGCACAGCCAAGAAGGGCACCAAGCCTTGGTGGGTCTGATGAGGGTGTCTTCAGGGTCTTATGCGGTGTAGAGATGATCGTCTGGATTAAGGCTTACCACAAGGATTACTTAAGCTTAAGGCTTGTAAGAGCCACTAAGAACCCCAGAAAGGTTGAAAGCTGAAATGTCGACCACTAAGAGGCCCAAACATGCCAGGACGAGGCATTTCACGTACGCAGGCAAGCGCGCCTTCGTGGGTGCGTCGGTGAACATTCTTTCCAGCGCTAGGGCTCTACTCCCCGAGTCATTGGCCATGCGGCAGATGGCAGGACTCTAAGGTAAAAGCCAGAAAGTTGGAATACGATTATCCTAAACCTTTATAGTAAATTATAAGGTATCCTACCCTGAAACCATATTCCAACTTTCTGGAGTTCCCTTTACTATGATGCTTCCAATTGGCTCGAACAAGACTAAGAAAGATGCAATCGGCAGGAAATGAAATCGTGCATTGCTGACAAGAAGTCCTTAACCCTGTACCGGTGGATCTTCTCGCAGCCATGTGGAGCTGTCCTACTCGAGTTCTCTCTAGTCTAAGGTGCCTGTGTCACTGTGTGGAATGACCTGCTGAAGAATTCAATAGGGCTCTATTATAGAGTAATGTAGGGTTTATAAGAAGTTTTCTAGCGACTTAAACGGCTTCACCACGGCTTTACGAATGCTGCATCTACCAGACAGAGGGCTCGACTCTACGTCAGGGTTTTTACACTTTAGGGGTCGGGTTTCACCGATAAGGAACATGACATAAAACGGAATTCCCTCGAAGGAGAGGTGTTGCAGAAGTACTACTATAGGGACCTCGATATGTATGTAATACCGTAATTATAAAAAGGAAAACCCAAAATAGTATTGGTACTTACTTAGGCCCCTATAGTACTAAGTTACTAAGTTTCAAGTTTCAACCTCCAGAACATCGAGACCCTCACACAAAGTCGACTTCGACGACTCAAGCAGCAAGGAAGCCTTGACCAAGTGAAGGCCTACACACTGAATCGTACGGCCTCGATCAAGCCCCTCCCCAGAACCCCTAAAACCCTAAACCCGAACCCTAAATGCCTAAAAGTCCTCAAACCCCAAACTCCGAACAGCATGCCGGGGCGGGAGTCGCACCTGCAGCGGCTGCCGCAAGCGCTGGATCCAAGAGCGGTCCCCTTAAATCCTATAGGATCAGGGCTTTTGGGTTTTGGGGCATTGAGATTTAGGGTTTTGGGTTTCCCCAAACCCTAAATCCTATAGGATCCGGGCTTCTGGGTATTGGGGGCATTGGGATTTTAGCAAGACCTAAACCCTCAACCTCCGAAACACCTTGATGGCAAGTAGGAGACTAGTCTAAGGTTCACAGCTGTTGGAGGATGGGCTCCTACAATATGAAAGGCCTGTTATTGCTGGGCCTTCATGACCCCGCAGCAAACCCACAAAGTTCAGAACGGGGTTCTGGGAAGAATCTCCGAAACAACAATAAAAGCAATGAACTGAAGCACCCGGATATCAGTTTAGGCAACGGCATGGTAGACTGCAGTCGGGATGCTCGCTCGAGCGCTGTAGTAGGCGCCACTCCAAAACTCAAACACGTGCCACTGCTGGTCCTGGTGCAAGATATTCGCGTTTCTGACAAGGCGGAGAAAGCCTAAGTACTGTCGATGTTGCAGAAAACCAAATCAAATCTATGGGTTCTATGGATCACTCAGAAACACGCGTTCCTTCACTAGCTAAGGGGCCTCGAGGCTATGTAGGTCTAGCACTTGCTGCTGTTAGAGACTCTAGCGTCGAGTGTTTCGAAGATCTCCACCTCAAAAACAACCCCAAGAGTTGGACCTTTCCAAAGGGTGGAAGCAGACACCAAACCTTACGACTCAACACTTCTGTTGGATCCAGAACCGAAGCCTTGTCGTGCAAGACTCCAAACACCAAAACACCGCAACCTTAATCCCAACACTTCAAACACTGAACCCCGAAAGTCCTGAAGCCCCAAAACTCAAGCCCAAGCCCCAAAAAGCGTGAACCGATACAGCGGGACTATATAAATCCTGCATTACCTTAAGGACCCTAAACACTGGGGATTATGGTATATTCCTTATTATGGGTCATGCAGGATTTGTATCATCAACCGTATCCGTAGTTGCCAATCGGCCATGAATCCCGTATAGTCTCGGGTGCTCAAGGTAATGTAGGCTTGCGTCCACGACCATAAGCCCCAATCTCTGGAGCCTTTACAAAAGAAATAGACACCAACTGAACTATGCCCTATATATGCACTACATGAGGAATGCCAAAACACACACAAAAAAAACGAACCCAACCGGAAGCGCCTGGCCCTAGCGAACTCCAGAAAGAGGGTATACATTACAGTATACGGAACCGGGCCCCAAACCGTTGAAGAACCCGTATGAACCCCACATCAAACCCTGTTGAAACTCGTATAGTAACCAAACCTGTATAATAGAGCGTTTATCAACCGCGATCCGGCCGCACTCGGATCTGTCGTCATTCCGATGCCTCTTGCTCCCAAGAGTCAAACTTCAGGAGCCCCGCCACGGCGCTCAGCAGAAAGTGTTTGCGGCGGATCGAGGAGGTATACCGGGCGCTGATATACCTCAATTGCATCGGGTTTCCTTGTTCACGGATGCGAGATTTCTCTTGCCAGTCGCCTAAGGCCAGTTGTTGTTGCGGCGTCCACTCCGCAAGAGTCGCATACGTTGGACCGACCCGTCTAAACGAATAGGTGGTGAGAGCCGAGACCGCAGTGCCCAACAGTGGTGTAAACATATCTTGCGCCAGGCTCAGCGTTGTCGAGTCGTGGGACAGTCCCAGTCGAGACCTTCGAGATGTAGCCACTTCTTCACTTCTCCTCGCCTCCTTTAGAACTTTCCCTTTGAACCCAACTGTTCCTGAACTAAACGCTAGAAACCTCACAACTTAAACCCCAAAACCGTAGAAGGCAAGCAACATCCCTCAAACCCTAAACTCGACCACAGAACCCTGAATCCTCAAGCATCATATGCCCCGACCATAGCCCTAAGAACCTAGCGCCCTGAAATCCTAAAAAACCCTAAACCTCAAAATCTAAAACAACCGCACTGGGCCTGTAAACCCTACAAAAACACACCCAACGCATCGGATGACAGTCTCTCCCTAAACCCTAAACCCTAAATCCTAAACCCTAAACTCTAAACCCAGTTTCTCCGGCCTCGGATCCGGGTAGCTCCAAAGAGAGCTCCTTCACTTGCCTCCCTCGGTGAAGTCGTGGGCTCCAGAGCTTTAGGTAATGCAGGGGCCTTACAGTTAATTGAGTTATCTTAAGCTACCACAATGGGGATCTATAGGGGTTCCTTTAAGGGATCTTTAGGGTTTATGGGGGTTTATAGTTATAGGGGTTTATAGTAGAAGCCCAAAAGTTGGAAACCCCATAGCCTCAATCCTGTAGAGTATATATAATGTATAGAGAATCCCAGCACTATTGGGCCTTAATCCGGTTTCCAACTTTGAGGGGTTTACTGCAATGATAAACTACATTATCTTGGGCGGGGGGCTCCTTATTATAGGTATAGCCAATTCCATCATGAAGGCCCCGATATTGTTAGGGTTTAGGGTATATAAGGTTACCGACGGGTTTCTGCAAAGGGCCCCGTACGTGATCGATTCTAAGGGCTCTCAAGTCCTTCTATAGATCACTCACCGTGAAGGAAAAGGCTCTTGTTTAAAATATCGTTTAGGCCTTCGGCCGCGGGAGTTATACTGAAACGGAGGGTGTGGGAGCCGGCTGCAGCTGCGACAGCGTCAGCGTCCAGGTTCTTGTAGTGCCGTTTTCTGGTTTACCCCAAGGGTCCAAAGGACCCAATAATCAGGTACTCGGCTTTAGGATAGTAGTTATGTAGGTTAGGATTTTGGAGAGTACATGATTATTGGGTTGGACCCTTGGGGTTAGGGCTTACTTGAACGCTTGGGCCTTACCAGTTTATTGGCTCATGCTGTGTACGCATATACAGATGCGTATACATATGTTTGGTTATACCCTCTTTCAATGTAGCCCTTCTACGCAACACCTTGACAGTCACATGAAACCTTGGAAACCTATTCAATTCTAGACCCTCGATACTACCAGCAGGAGCCCTGTGTTTACAAGGATCCGACAGCGCTAGTTGTCCCTCTCGGCTATCAAAAATCTTTTGGCTCAAAAACTGCCCGGATTGATCGTTATTCTGCTGTTTGTTTGGTTTAGGGTTTAGGACATGGGAGTTCCGGGTGTAGAGCATTTCGGACGCCTTCTTGTCAAGCCAAGCTGCCATCGCACCAGGAAAACACCTGCATTGAATGCACCGAGGGCCACCTGAAGCTACCTCAAACCCTAAACCTTACACCTGCAGCCCTAAACTAAACCCCTAAACCCTGAACCCTAAACCCTAAACCCTAAACCCCGAAAACAAAACCCAATATGCACTTCTGGGGCGATGACGAACATGCTGAGGACAATCGTTGCAGTGAGGCTTTTGCGTCATGGCTTTGGCTATCAGCCGAGACTCAGACCACCAGCCCTTAAGCCTCCATGCGAAACTAGTTCATGGTTGGGATAGGATAAAAACTGTAAATTTGTATTCCTTATTGGGTTTAAGTACCCATAAAAATCCAAAATGTTACCCAACTATGACAAAGTAAAAGCATTCATACCAAAGACTTTGGCACCGTGAGACCTCGAAGCTTGCAGCTTCGGGCTCCTTTATAGTTTGTATAGATATGGGAGTTTCCGAAAATAGGGGACCCTGAATGTAGTACCCTAAATAGTAGGATCTTTGTTGTGAGGACCCCAAAATAAGGTACCCTGAATCTTTCGGAAACTCCCATATAGCTATAATCAGGAACCTTCTGGACTAATATGGGTAAGAATGTAAAGGCCTCTAAATTATGCAAGGGCAAATGCTTTTCGGCTGCCGGCGACTTCAAAATTCCAGGACTGAGTGTGTCGGACCTCATGGGCTCAATGGCGGGGCCTGGATCATTGGACTAGGGTCTTCGGGTCGTGTTGTAGCTTTGTGAAAAATATGAGGAGCCCGGAAAGTCGTGTTGCTGACTTTCCGGACATCTAGAGAGAGCTTGAAGGACACTCGCACACACAATCCTCACCCCAAAGTGTAAGCCCTAAAGTTCCGAAGCCTAAACATCCCTCAGCCCTCACCTCATTTAAAAAAAACTGGACCCCTAACAAAATAGGAGTCATAGCACCTCAACACTGAAAAACACGGAACCTACGTACACCGTAGTCC